TTCATAATGCAGCGCATGATAAGGGTCGCGGAATTCTGTCCTGCCAGGCGTATTGAACCTACTCGTCTTATCGCGCCAACTGCCTTTAACCCGATTTCCTGGGCGGAGGTGGCGTGGTGACGAATGGCGCGCTTACTGCTCGCGCGGTTCCGGGTTGATCCAGGCCAAGCCAACAGCTTTTACTCCTCGGGGACGGTTAGTTGTACCGGATTCTTCCGGGAGGATAAAACACTGACTCGTACATCGGCTGGCCTGTAACTCATTGCTTATAGGCCACATCGCAATCAGTTAATTACGACTCTTAAATGGAAGTAGAATGCGTGCCGCATACCGCAAAGGGTTTGATTAACGGTGAAAACTTTATCCTCTGACCCGACTCCTACGACTTTCGTGAATTTCCTCCCAATTTCCCCAACTAACTTTCACTTTCGGAGCGCGGTTATGTAGCACACTTGAAACTGGAGAAATCAAGAAGGTCGCAACCGGGATTTTGGGGAAAAAATTAGAAATGGGAAATTGAAAAAAGGAACTTTTTCGGGAAAAAAACTGTAGGAGGTGAGGGGAAAATGGTCCGACGTGGTCCGACTTTTGCCCACAGCTCAGCATTCTTGTGATAGCTTTCGTATCGCGTACTGCGGCATTAAACAACAGTTTATCAAACAATAACAGCAACCGGGCGATTATTTTTCTCAATATAGCAATTACGATCTTCCCAGCCAATTTCGGTATTACGACCCACCTTCCTCGAAGACCCTCATAGAGGAAACGACTGTTTCAGTGACCCGAATCGGTAGAGTCGAGGAGCTTCCTTCCAGGGGGTGAGAAGAAGGTGAGGCTAGTTTAATACATCGGACCCAAATAAGACCCTGCTTGTGCATGATGGGGTATGATTGTCGAACGTGCTCAGCCAAGGGGTAATACTTTTCCCGAACTCTAAAATTTGTATCATCAACCAATTTATAAAACACATTGAGGGGGAGGTGGTCGGGTATGTGGACATTTGGATTCTTTGCTGATTGTTTGCGCTTTTTGTTCAGGCGCCTCACTTTTCTGATAATGGCGAAGGTATCTACCTCTCCCCCCCTTTCGCTCCAAAGCCAAAGTTTTGGAAAAGTTGGGAAGATGGTAGGTATGTAGATTGGGAGAGTGAGGGAGTCGTGCCGGAGAAGCAAAAACCGTAGGGTAGAAGGTGGTTTGCAAGCATTTTCCAAATGTGATGTTGTGCCCTGCCTCATCACAGCTTTCTTTACTGGAAGTTCCATTCGTACCGGTTTGGGAGCGAAACCATAAGCCTCCTTTTCTTTACGTCTTAAATGGGGATTTCCTGATAGGATCCCTTTTCTCACTTGGAGAATTTCTAATAGGTTTCTTTCTTATCCTTCCCACCCCTTCACCATGAACCCGGTTCCACTAAGAACTGTAACCAGGGCTCGCCATCGCGTTGTGATCATTTTCTGAAAAATACGACCCCCTAGTTCTAAAGAATACGAACTCCCCCTCCCTATGCTACCTACCACTTTCTAGACTTTCCCCGAAAAACCTCCAGTTGTTCAGCCAAAGGATAGATTTCCCCTCACCTCCTACAGTTTTTTTCCGAAAAAGTTCTTTTTTCAATTTTAAATCTCTTTTTTTCCCCAAAATTTTGCTGTCTAGCGGGGGGGCGAGGGGAAGGGTCGTCATTGAATTAACTTGTCGTTATATCAACTGCCAGAAATAGTAGTTGTGTAGATCTTTGGCAGTTCTTTTTCCAACAACAACCAAATACGACCCCCCCCCGGTTGTGATCATCACAACGAGCCTTATTGTACCTTCGTCTGTTGGTATGCTATCGCGTATCAGGAAGTTGATGCGCTCTAATCGGAGTTTGTCTGAGCGCGAAAGTCGCCTTTTCAAATTGAAAAGGGCATGGTTGCTAGCTAATTTTTCGAGGCTTTCCTTTTTCAGTTTTCGATGTGACTTCTCAACTCCTACGATTCTGTTCTTTTCCTGTTATGTCTTGAAGCTTTTCGAGAATTAAGAAATGCAAAATCCGTCGTGAAAAACCACAACTTCCCCAACGAATTTCCAGAAGTGTTTGCGGGTTATTGAAACAGTTGTCAGCGCTAGGCTTTTGTTTAAAATGTGAAATAGTGAGAATAATTTTTTGTCATTTTTCTTTGAATCGTCAGCCTCAGGAGGGGGCATATTGCGCTATCGCGTCTTCTCTTTGTCGTATTCATTGCTCTACAAGAGTTGACTTTTACAAGACTTGACAATTTTTTCGTTCAAACTTCAACTTGTATTACTTCATGGTTTCAAATGATTTCACAGATCTGTACTTGTTTTCTCGACAGGACATTGAGAAGCAGCGAACATGCAAAATGCCCCCTCAAACCAAAATCCGCCCTTTCTTGAAGCAAAGTTCGCGACAGTTTCCACTAAATACTTGGAGTATCACATTAACAAACCATAATCGCCTAACATTGAAGCCTGGCAACCTTCACATTGCTTCTTCAATTCCCACTCATTTTCTTCGTTATCTGTTTTTTCTCATACCTATTCATTTGTTGTTATCCATCCACTAATTGAAAGAAATTTATGGGACCAGTTTCCGCAACGTTTTTCCAACTACTTGTTGCAGTCTGAATACCTCTGAATGAAATGTGACTGAAACCAGTTTCGTGGATAAGAAAATGTCTTTCCAGTGTTATGACCACTTAACCGAACACTTCGTTTTACTACTCTTAAGAATTTGGCGGAAATGCTTTTTGAGCAGTTTACTAATTGAGTGCCAGCGGACCGAGGCTTGAAAAACAGTCCGGAAGGATTAAAAGCTTAGGGATTTACCAGTTAGCGCCGTTCCTAGCCCTTGTAGATTGATTTGCTAAGCTACGAAACTGTCTTTAGGAATACTTCCGCTCTGCACACCTTGTACACTTCCACCTTTCCGCATCTACCATCCTCTATTTTCTGTCCAACTTTCCTCCCGTGTGGCGGGGGGGGGTATCAGGCCAGTGAAACACGCGAAAAGCCCAGAAAACTCAATAGCAAGGGTGGTTGAGAAAATATTTCTTTCAGAATCAAGTGAAACCCTCCCTCCATCGACTAGATATGCCCCCCGCTAGTGATCGCAACGTGTGGCTTCAGTAGTGCTGTTCCCATTTGAGGGTCAACAGCTTTGCCCCTCCCCGGGTCTATTCTCATTCTGTACTGCTATTTATTGAAAAAAATAGTAGTGGAGATCAGTTGGATCCTCGGGATTTCTTTTAGGGTGACTAACTTGCCCATAGTAGAGAGTAACCTTTGATGCGTATTCGTTTGCCTGCATAGGAGTCGTTGTCTATTGAAAATTAGTTGGCTATTCTAGCAGTATGCCTGCTGGCAGGTCCTTAATTGTTCTACTCAATTCTTAAATTGGGGGTGAGACGGAATTGGCCGAGAGTACGCTTATTATGGTGATTCATCCAGCAGTATGCTGGAGGGCGTGGCTGCCGCACTCTTCGCTTGGGCCATTGGCATAAGCATGTGTTCTCGTGAAATATCTCTACTTAAGAAAGCGCTCATAAACTCTATACTTGTGTATATCCTACAAGCCGCCACCACGTTCAAATGAAGAACTTGGCCACGCCCTCTCCACATCCGGGATATGGAGTACGGCTCTGGTGGTGTAGGGGTGAAAACCGTGATTGATTTCACCCTAACCTCAGAAGCCTTTCATTGTTTTTTGCATGGCTAACTGGTACCCTGCTCGTTTAAGATGTTAGAGACATTTAGAAGGCTGCCCTACTACGTTCACTTCCACGCCCCTCCCCTTTCACGCCTTCTGTTGCAGGCAGCGGACTACGGCTGGCCATCTAAAGCAGATCCAGGAACAGCGATCTGTATGCGAAGTAGACGTCTTTGCGTGCCATCGCAGGAGGGCTGATCTGAGCGCCCTGAATAATTTTCAGGCCTCTCAATTGCCTAATTTACATTTTTGTTGGAAATGGCTCCTCTAATAGAAAAGCCATAGGAGGGTTTTCAAAGGATGCCAGAATACAAGGCAGTTCTTGTTCGCTGGGATGTTGGGGGCCCAGCGGGTTGGTTTTGACGCCAAGCCAATCCTTTTTAACCAATTGTCGCTTGACAGCTTCTACAATTGGTTGGAGGAATGGCTTTGGCGCCGCGCCAAATCCTGTCCCCTGACAAGCCCCAGCATCCGCCGCGAACAAGATTACAACCCTAGGATGTTTATGTTGCTCAGTTCAGTGGGATCGTTTATGTCCATACTTGCTCCATTGTTTTCAGACTGATCACGCCCTTCTCGCGCAGGTTCTTGTACGGTACAGCAGCCTGCTCTTGAGGGCCTTTATTCCGTCCACGATGAGCTCGGATCAGGAGGTGCAGTCTTTCTTAGTTTAAGAAAGCCTTTTTTGCTCTTGCACCAAATTCGATCGCATGGCTTGTTGATGGCTTGTTTCAAAAGTTCCCCTGTGCTTTTTTTTAGGTTTCGGCAAGGTCAAATTAGCAACACATTTACTAACTGGTCTCAAAGTTGCCATTAAAATTATTGACAAAAAAGCAATTGGCGTTAGTTTTTAGTGTGACTTTGTTTTTTTTCAGTATCAGTTAAGTTTTTCGAATAAATTTGTTTTGTCTTCGATTTTTCCAGGATGATCTGCCAAGAGTTACAACCGAGCTCGACGCTCTTAAAACACTATCACATCAGAATATTTGTCGGCTATATCAGTTTATTGATACTGAAGATAAATTCTTCATTATCATGGAGGTGAAATTCTTTGATACTTTTTATCTCCTCTCAGGAATGCGCTTGAATACTTCGCGATTTTTGTCGCTTGATCGCCGCGAGCAGCATCAACTGCGCGATCCTGGCGATCGGATCTTGAAGTATGAACGCGCTCTCAGATGGTTTCGAGAATTCTTGATTGAATTTGGCCGATTTCCAGTACTGTAGTGGAGGAGAGATGTTCGACTATATCGTACGAAAAGAGCGCCTTGAAGAATCTGAAGCTCGCCATTTTTTCCGTCAACTTGTACAGGCTATGGCGTATGTGCATTCGATGGGTTATGCTCACAGGGATCTTAAACCGGTATGAATATTAGTGAATGAAACTCCAAATTTTTTTTCCCTTCGCTTGGCACTGTTTGAACCTAAAAAACTTGCTGAAGCGGCTTTCACATTTCGCAACTGTTGAAATTGCCATTCCACGCCCTCGTGAGTTCGAACTTGAGACAGGAAAGTTAGCTTATGGAGTGGAAACTGTTTACATTCCCACTTTCCAAGCTCAGCCTTAGGCGCGTTATACTTGCGCATCCGCGTGTTGTGATTCGGAGTTTTGACGCTTCGTGCGATTGACATGACAAGGAAGTGTAAGTATCGATCTAGAGATTGGGAAATCGGCGACTGGCCACCGTGCGCCGCAGTCACTAGCGACAGCATCGTCAGTACTCATCGCTTGCTTCGCAGCGCTATTGCCCGACACGGCGAGGTCTATTCGAACGCCGCGGACTTCTGGTTCCTAAAAAAAAAAAAAAAAAAAAAAAAAAAAAAAAAAAAAAAAAAAAAAAAAAAAAAAAAAAAAAAAAAAAAAAAAAAAAAAAAAAAAAAAAAAAAAAAAAAAAAAAAAAAAAAAAAAATCGGCTGGTGTTCAGCCAGCTACCTATGGCTTCCCTGGCCGCGCAATACTCTCTCGATCGCAAGTCTCCAAATCGCCGATCTCGCCAAGTATAAACGCGCCCCAGAGAGAATAGACGACCAGCAGTTCCAGAGAGGCGGCAATCTCCGGCCCAGGTACAGGTCCCATTTACCACTTGGAACTTAAATCTCTGCTTGGGATCACTAATTTCTGCAGACGTTTCTTGCAAAACTATACTATTTTATGACACCTGAAGTGGGTTTTTTAGATGGTGAGCCTGAATAGTCCTTTTGGATGTTCTGATCACATCGGAGATAGGATTAGCAGTGCTTGGATAGCCATAAACTTCTTTTTATTATTTGGATATTGCTCGTCTTCCAGGAGAATCTGCTATTGACAGAAGATTTGCATCTCAAAGTGATTGATTTCGGTTTATGTGCGAAACCATGTTCACTTTCACGACCGCTTGATACCTGTTGTGGTTCGCCTGCATATGCTGCTCCTGAACTTATTGCGGTTGGTTTGAGTTTACTGTGGAGTAATCCGTTTGTCTGATTACACATTAGTCTACGCAGCACTACGTTATGAAAACCGCAATATCGGATTTCACAGGGTGCATAGCTTTTCAATAAATCATCTGGGAAGATTTTTAGGGTAAGCATATCTTTGGTAATGAGCAGACTATTATGGTTCAATGGAGTTCGCTGGCATATACACACTTTCTTTGTTGTTCTCTTCCCTTATTGAAGGGAATCTCTTCCTTTTGGTGGGAGATGCGAAAAGCCTATTTTTGAGCCAGCGTTCGCACAGATACCGCAGGGCGTCGCGATGTCAGCAAGTCCGGGGCACTCGTACAATAAGATTGTGTGATAGACTCAGGGAACGGTTTCGTTTATAGTGTTCTTAGAAATTCGTTTTGCGTTTTTATTCTCCCTCGAGTCACTTATCAGCTACTGGTTCATAACTGAACCATTCATGATACTTCATCGCGGGATTGTCTTTAAATTTTCCCTCAGCAGACGCTGGTCAGAGCGGGGAGCAAATAGTCGTTCTATGGAGGATGCTAGCACTACCGGATAGATGGGTTGCCTCGTTACAGTCCGGTTCTTCTAGATTGTGGCGAGTCGTTTTTGCAATGTGAGGTCAAGCACTTTCCTGGGAAGGCGACACTGAGTTGTTCGCGAGGCTTATTCTGCGTTGCGGTTAGGTTCTGGAGGGGTCCCACATATGGGGTACCGGGTTTGAGCGCGCGCTTTAGTTGTGCTTTTCCTAGAACTGCATGTCTTACCGTTTTAATAAAAGAGCGTAATCCTCAAAGCGGGGACCTCCGGCTTCGTTGGTCAGGATGGTTTTTAGTCGCGGAGCAGCCACTGGGCGTGCTCCGTTTTCTTTTCATAGTGGATCCAGCTCTCATCTCAGTGATAATCTACTTGAGAAAATCTTGCTCATGCGAAACAAAGGCTCTATAAAAGAAAGGAAAAAGTCTTCTGCAGGTGGTCAAGGGTGCTACTTGGACGTCGTCGGGCGGCGCATGGTCATTCAGTGCCTTTTGATGAGGAGTGATCTAGGTGGACACGTGGGAAAGGTAATTTAGAGACTCTCCAGTAGAACCCCGTAGAATTAGGACACCTACAGCATATATCGTCGCGGGGTCTTGAAGGTCAGAACGAGCCTGCCCCGACTACCAATGGTGATCGGCTTTCCTACCAGTAGCGATCGGTTAGTGATCGATACAGGAGGAAAACAACTGGTAGAAGGGAACCCTGAGGGTGGGTTCACTCCATGCCTCTTGAACCGTCCCAATGATTGCGATGTTTAATGTACCTCGACAGCCGGATTGGGGTCTTTTCTGAGGGAGGGAAGGACTGGCAGGGCAATTTTCCACGACGTAATGCATAACTCAGTCTGCTCTTTCTGATTCCTAGTGCGCTGACAAATTGATGCCCACAACTTCATAGTTCACCGGTATCAGTTGCAGTCACGGAATATGTTTTTAAGTCCCTGCGTTTATAGGCAGCATTAATATTCGCCCATGATAAAGAGCAGCCCGAGTAATGCTATCTGCCATAATGTCGGAAATATAAAGTTTTGAAGCTTTCACAACATGTTCATAACTCAGTGATTTATTGCGTTTTTTAGATCCCGCAGCTGTCACTGGGATAAGTTTCTGCAACGGAATGTGGGTATAAATCTTGAATATTTATTGTCATATGAATAAATTACAATGGTAAGGCTACAACACGAGGTGATCGATTGTCTCTCTTTTAGCATGTCATCGACGTATTGATTGACTCCTTTCACAGGCTCATTGCTTTCATTGATCAGTTTGATCGAACCTTCAATAGAACTTCATTATTCTTGTGGAACGAACTAGAGCACCTACTACGGAGCAGTTACTGACTTGTCTAAGGTCTACCATGCCTCCTACTCTGGGGCAGGGTACAGCATCGTGGGGAGTATCGCACTGGGGATCGTACTTGGTAGCAGGGAAGGGGTTCGTATTTGCCCCACGGAAGATTTTTCTCCTAATCCGAGAAATTTTCGGACGTTTCCCACTAATTGTTGCAGCGTTCCGTTCTACAACAATTGGAGGAGAACGGGTCGGTGCCATGCCATTCCCAGGTCCCTGACACGCCCCAGCACCTGCGGCGA